TCGCCCCTCCTGCCCAACTCCCCCACTCCTCCGCTCTCCTCCTCGCCCGCTCCCCCCCCCCCCCTCCTCGCCCCTCCCCCCCGCCCCTCCCCCCTCCCCCCCCTCTCCTCCTCGCTCCTACCTGCCCCCCCCCCCCTCTCCCTCCCCCCCTCTGTGCTCCTGCCTCTCCTCCCCGCCCGCTCCCGCCGCCGCAGCCCTTTCTGGCGCAGGGGCCCCCGGGATCTCCCCACTTTTTGTGCCTCGGAGGGGCGCGCCGCGCTGGCGTCCGAGTCGTCCCCGGGATGGCGTGCGGCCACGGGAAGGCGGCGTCAGTCTCAAGTCGGGCGTGCTCCCCCTGCAGGGGGATCTTCGAGGAAAAATTCAAGATAACCCCAAAAATAGTCAAACGATGATCCAAAAATAGTCTGGGAATATCCCCAAAATAGTCAAACAAATCGTCGGGGCACGATTTTGGTACTGTTTTCGTTTTTTTTTGGTTGGGGGGATCTTTTTGGTGTCCTGTGCCTCGCGACACGTGCCTTCTCACACTCCTATGGCGACGTGGCCCTCGGAAGGGTCTTGCGTCCTCTCGTGTGTCCTGTCCGATCAAGCCCGACTGTAAGTCGGGCGTGCCCCCCTGCAGGGGGATCTTCGACGAAAAATTTAAGATACCCCAGAAATAGTCAAACAATGATCCAAACACAGTCTGGGGACTATGCTTTGAGTAATGTTTTTACCTTTTGGGGGTATGTTGGGGGTATTTGTTTCTCATTTTTCGTCGAAAATCCCCCTGTATGGGGGACAGGCCCGACTTAACAACCGTTAGTCGGAGGTTGATCGACCTCCTATCTTGACGCGTCGATTAAGGGATTGGCCGTTTTCGGTTCGCGAGAGGGCGTCGCGGCCGTCACTTTTGCGGGTCCAGGTCCGTCGGTTTCCGTCCTTGGCCGTTTTCACTAAGTGGAGGTTTACTAAAGGGAGGTTTGTCCGCCGCCGGGTCAAGTCGGGTACGTCCCTCTGCAGGAGGAATATCCCCCAAATAGTCAAACAATTCGTCGGGGCACGATTTTGGGACTATTTTCGTTTTTTCCTTGGTTGGGGGGATCTTTTTTTGAACTGAGGTGGATCGACCTCCTACCCTGACGCGTCGATTAAGGAATTGGCCGTCTTCGGTTCGCGAGAGGGCGTCGCGGCCGTCACTTTTGCGGGTCCAGGTCCGTCGGTTTCGGTCCTTGGCCGTTTTCACTAAGTGGAGGTTTACTAAATGGAGGTTTGTCCGCCGCCGGGTTAAGTCGGGTACGTCCCTCTGCAGGAGGAGTATCCCCCAAATAGTCAAACAAATCGCCGGGGCACGATTTTGGGACTATTTTAGTTTTTTTTTGGTTGGGGGGATCTTTTTTTTCAAACTGAGTATGATAGACCTCCTTTCCTGACGCGTCGATTAAGGGATTGGCCGTTTTCGGTTCGCGAGAGGGCGTCGCGGCCGTCACTTTTGCGGGTCCAGGTCCGTCGGTTTCGGTCCTTGGCCGTTTTCACTAAGTGGAGGTTTACTAAAGGGAGGTTTGTCCGCCGCCGAGTTAAGTCGGGCACGTCCCTCTGCAGGAGGAATACCCCCAAAATAGTCAAACAAATCGTCGGGGCACGATTTTGGATCTATTTTAGTTTTTTTTGTTGTTTGGGGGATCTCTTTTTTCAACTGAGTATGATAGACCTTCTACCCTGACGCGTCGACTAAAGAATTGGCCGTTTTCGGTTCGCGAGAGGGCGTCGCGGCCGTCACTTTTGCGGGTCCAGGTCCGTCGGGTTGGGTCTTAGGCCGTTTTCACGAAGGGGAGGTTTGCTAAAGGGAGGTTTGTCCGCCGCCGAGTCAAGTCGGGCACGTCCCTCTACATGAGGAATATCCCCAAAACAGCCCAGCAAATCGTCGGGGCACGATTTTGGGACCATTCTTTTTTTTTTCTGGTTGGGGGGATCTTCTTTATAAAGCTGTTTTTCACTGTTCGCCCAACATCCGCCTGCAGAGGGGGACACACCCGACCCAAAGGAGATGTGGAAGGCCACGTTCATCGAGGTGGGGGACGACGAGCGCCAGGGCTCGCTCAGCCCGCGGCCCCGCAGCGAGCCCTGCAGCGAGCCGCCCTCCCTCCGCGGCGCGTTCTTCGAGGCCGACCGCGTGCGCGTCGCTGCGCTGTCCCAGCGCATGGACGAGGTCTGGGCCTCGAACAGCCGGGCGACGATGCGGCAGCTCCTGTCCGCAGACCCGGTCCTCGAGCCCCTGGGCGAGGGCCACGGCAAAGCCGGCGGATGCGATCGCGCCGTCCAGTACGAGAGCGAGTCGACGGGGATCGGCTGGGGCAGCCTCTCGGAGTGCGGCACCTCCGACGCGGCTTCGGCTCGCGAGACCAGGCCCCCGGCGACGCCACGCTGCGATCTCGCCGTGGCTCCCGCGACGCAGCGCAGCGGGGACGCGGTGGGCAGGAGGGGTCACGAGAAGGTGATGTGGAAGGCCACGTTCATCGAGGTGGGTGGCGACGAGCGCCAGGGCTCGCTCAGTCCTCGGCCCTCCAGCGAGCCCTGCAGCGAGTCTGCCTCCTGCCGCGGCGAGTTCTTCGAGGCCGACCGCCTGCGCGCCTCTGCGCTGTCGCAGCACATGGAGGAGGCCTGGGCCTCGAACGATCGGGAGGCGATGAGGAGCAGCCTCCAGAAGCGGCGCATGTCTGCAGCCGCGGATGCCATCCACCTCCTGCCAGAGCAGCTGATCAACGTGGTGCAGACCAAGGCGGAGAGCCTCGCCGACAGCGTGAAGATCGACCTGTCCCTGGTGCAGAAGGCCATCCGCCGCAGCGGCGGGGACGGCGACGCCGTCGACGTGGCCATCGACCAGCTGGACAAGATCCCAGGGATCATCAGGAGCTCCTTCGACTCGAAGATCGTGGATGCGAACGAGGCGATACGGACGAAGCTGAGTGCCATCATGCAGAAGTTCAAGGGCCGTGCCCCTGAGAGTCAAGAAGTGGTGACGCAGCTGTGGACCATCCCAGAGGAGCTCGAGCAGATCACCTGGGAGGCGGTTGACAAGGCCGTGCAAGAGTCCCAGCGCGAGGCGGCTAGTTGTTGCGACCGCGTCTTGCGGAGCTTGCCAGAGGACGCGGGATCAAGCCGCCGGGCACTGAAAGACGCCAAATCTCAGATCGTGGAGTCGATGCCAGAGATGTACTCCGCGACGATGCGGGCCTTGAGGAGCACGACCAACGCGAACGTCAGGCACGCCGTTGCTTACGTGGACGACCCCAAGGACGTGCCTGTCACGAACCACTTAGTCGCAGACGTGCTTCTGAGGGCGAAGATGGGCACCCTGCCGCACACGAACGGCGCGTCCCTGTACCAGCCTAGCCACTGCGCGGCTAGCTTGCTGGACTGCGTGAACGACGCCGGGGGCGACGGCTTTCTGGCGAACCACCGCAGCCAGTGCCAGGCTTATGATGTTCCAGCCTGCTTCCAGCCTTGATCACCACAAAGAACTTCGTGCACCAAGAAAGTACAGAAACTCGAGGGGCTTCACGTGTCGGGCCCTGGGAGGCGATATCCTCGTTCGACGCCGCTTCGAGCATTTTTCTGGGTGCTCGAAACTCTTTCCGGGACGTGGGCCTTGAGAGTACGACGGGAACAGCATGCGTGGCAGGCCGGCCTCGCCTGCAGCGCCGCGTGCACCCGCCCGTCCAATCCCGGGAGCCTGGGCCACCCCGAGATGTGCGTCCGGCCGTGCCTCTACTTCTCGGGGGCGGAAAAGAGGGGGGTGATGACTAGGGGGGGGGGGATATCATGGCGCGGGCCATGATATTTCTCCAGATCTCATGGCGCCTCTTCTTATTTCATTACGTCCCATGCACCCCCGCTGGGCCGCGCACATGCCGCCGGTCATGATTTGCACCCCCCCCTCTTGGACACCCCCCTCTTGGCCGCTCCCGAACTTCTCGGGCCGGGCGAAAGGGGGGGATTGGAAAAGGGGGGGATTGCGAAATTTGCTGCATGCAGCCGGTCTCGGCCTCACCCAAGGGGCCCATTCCTCGATCCATGGCCGCCTCCGGCACAGGGAGGCGCCGGGAAAATCAGCTACGTGAGCTGATTCTCAAACCCCCCCTTTGCTATCTCCCCCTTTCGCCCGACCCGAACTTCGCGCGGGGCCAGTGCGCGAGCGGCGACGCGTGCAAGTTCTGCCACTGCCCGCACCCGACTCGGCCCGTGCACCTCGGGAGGTCGCACAGGAGTCGAAGAAGAAAAAAAACATAAATTTACACTTATCGCGCTCCGCACGGATTTCTTGGGACTTACACTTGCACTTACATTATCGCGCGCTAACCATTAACGCGCGCTAGCCACTTACGCTTTTCTTGGGATTTCTTATCGCGCGCTAACCATTAACTTACATTACGCTTATCGCGCTCCGCTGGGCCCCCCCGGCTGCGCCTCTGGCGCCGCCCCTGGCGCGCTCCGCCTCGCCAGCGAGGGGGGTCTCAGCGCAGGTCCAAGAAAAATCTGCGCGGAGCGCGAACAGTTGACGTTTATGTTTTTGTTGTTTCTCTTCTGAGGAAGGCTCTGGAGGCGACGACCGCGGCGGAGTGCTTCGGCATCTTGCTGCCCGTCCTCGAGAGGAAGATGCTCGCGCTGGGCCTGGCCACCGACGCGCTCCGGCTGCTGGCGGAGCAGCCGTGCGCCCGGCCGGGCGGGGCCCCCGCTGACGCCGGGGGCCAGGTCTCGGGGGCGGAAAAGATGGGGGTGATGACTAGGGGGGGGGATATCATGGCGGGGGTCATGATTTTTCCCCAGATTTCATGGCGCCTCTTCTTGTTTCATTACGTCCCTGGCCCCCCCGCTGGGCCGCGCACATGCCGCTGGTCATGATTTGCACCCCCCCCTCTTGGACACCCCCCTCTTGGCCGCTCCCGAAAACCAAGGCCCGGGACCTGCGGACCCTGGAGAAGGCCTTCGGAGCCCTGTCCATGCGGTCGCTGCTGGTGGTGCTGCAGAGGAAGGTCCTGGCATCGCTCGGACGTGTGCATGTTTCTCTCGGCGAGGGCCATCGAGGAGCATCCTGGATCATGTGGCGGAAAAACCACGCACGAAGCCGCAAAAAGCACGGGGAGTGGACGTCCGAGCGATGGCCAGAGGTCGGGACGCAGCGTTCGCGCGAGAAGGCCCTGCTGGACTCGCTGATTCAGGAGGTGCGCAGGGCGGGTTTCCTCGTGGACCTCGGGGAGGACATCCAGGAGGACGCTTGAGTTCGGCCGGCTCATTCTTGTCCTATTCCTGCTGTTCCCAACAGGCGCAGTGTCAGGCCTGAGGCTCAGAGGTCTGGAGGCGTTGGGGGTAAGCGCCAGCAGCGAGGCATCATGGGCCCAGCAGCGGCCAGGTGGCGCTCGCGCCGGGGCACTTTGTTTTTTTTCTCTGTGGCCGGGCTGTGAAGCTCTTGCTCTTCTCCCCGCCACCTCCCTCGCAGCACAGTCTGACGACTTCGCGATGGGCTCCACGGCGTCCGGTCGGTCTTCACCCCGCCGGGCTGCCACCAATTTGTCTCCAACCTCCGTGCCAACTGCCGGCGCCCCGCGTGGGGATGAGCTTTCCACGCGGACTACTCCTCGGAGAGGCCCAGGCGTGCGGCCGCCGGGGCGGTCAATCGGTCGATCCAGCAATCAGTCGAACATGCAACCCCGGGAGAGGACGGTGCCGCCAGGATCGACCTCGAACGCTCCTGCATCGCCGTGCTATCACTGTCTACCAAGCAGCGCGGCGCTTCACGGATATGTCCGTCTGTTGCTGCTCGAGCTGTTTTTTCTGCCCACTCTCCAGATGCCGTATGGTTTGTGAGTGAGAGCGTGGTTGAACATGTTTTTTAAACCCTCTGGGCTATGACACGCGTTATGTCCCCCCCCTCCCTCCTCCCCCCCCGCAACATGACGCCACCCCTCCCCCTTGCCTGGTGCGTTCCTGGCGCTGCCGCAGAGAGCGCGTGCAGCACAGTCTCGCAGCACGGTGCGGCCGCAGCGCCTGCGTCTCGCAGGCCATCTGTGGCGCTCGCAGTCTATTTGCTATGGTAGCGCCCGCAGGCTGTTGTGGTGTTCATGGGCTAGTGTGGCGTTCGCAGGTCCGTTGACTGTGCACTTGCAGGTTGCGGCAAGCGGTAATCTGGTGCTGGCACGGCAGCAGTAGGTGTAGTAGTGGCATTGGTGGCAGAACCCAGGGCATCGTCAGTAGATCCAGCAGTGGTAGCAAGGTTTGGAGGAGGAGAGAGGGTTGAGGGGGACGGGGTGGGAGTAGTCGTCATAATCGTCGTCGTGTTCGTCTTGAGCTTGTGATTATAGCTGAAATGTCTCGGCCATTCCTCCTCTCTCTCCCATCGTCGTCGGTGTCGTCGTCGTCGTCGTCGTCACTGCGGTGGCTTTCGGGCGGTTCTGGATGTTCTCATCGCCGCGGCCTCGCACAGCTCGAAGAACTGGCCAGAGCTGATCCCGATTGACCAGATATTGGTCAGAGGATCGAGGTTCAGGTTTGAGGCGTTCGGCGCGGCCAGCAGGGCGTTTCTGCAAGAGGCCTGCGCCATTCCGCCATGCCGTCGTGGCGATCGCAGTGGGTTGTTCGCAGGCGCGCCGCGGTGCTCGCAAGCTACAGTCAGGTCGCTGAAGAAGGAACCCTATTCGTTGGGGAGGGGCTCCGTGTTCCTTGATTGTTCTACAGTTTGCCTTCTGTTTTCCTGAGGGTTTCCATGGGAAATCGAAGTTCAACTTATGGGAGAAAGGGGCCCCGTTCCTTATTTAGGGTTCCTTAGGTCAACGCCCCGACTGTAATGTGCGTGCTTGCAGGCACTCGTTGACCGCCTCCCGCCTCCTCCTTCGGTGCCGATGGGCGCCCCCGGACATCTCCCAGAGCACAGGTCTACAACAGAACTGCAATCCATGCGGGACTGTGGTGTACATGAGCGCTGTGGTGCACGCAGGCATCGCGGTGCACGCAGGCGCTCCAGTGAACGCGGCTCCTGTTATCCTCCTCCTCCTCCTCCTCCTTCTCCTCCTCCTCCTCCTCCTCCTCCTCCTCCTCCTCCTCCTCCTCCCCTCCTTATCCCCGATGCCCTACGTCCCTTTGGGCCGAGAGCGGCTGATGTGGTGCACGCAGGCGCTGTCGCGCACGCAATCGGCGTGGTGCACGCAGGCACTGTTTGTGTACAGCTTCGCCGTGGTGCACGCGGCTGCGGGGGTGCATGCTGCGGTGCGCACTGAGGTGCACGCTGTGGTGCGTGCAGGCGCTGTGGTGTTGGGGCCACACGGGGGGGGGGTCCGTTATGCCCGTCCACCCCCCGCCCCCCCTAACGCCCGCTATCGCCGCAAGTGAAAAATAGTTCTCCTCCTCCTCCTACTCCTCCTCCTCCTCCTCCTCCTCCTCCTCCTCCTCCTCCTCTTCTCCTCCTCGTCCTCCTCCTCCTCCTATGCGCCGATTTTGGTGGGACGTCTCAGCTAGAATTGCCGTTTG